TGCCTCATGTATTACATGTATATCCGCAAAGATTTAGTTTAGAGCCAGAATAGATGATAAATAAAATAACAAGAGTCAATGTCCTAATCTTTTTACCCTAATCATTCACTGAATCCGATTGTTTAATGGAGATTACAAAATAAGCGTATCCAGGGTAAGTTAAGAAGAAATGTTTATAGGAAGCCAACAAATGTTGGCTCTGCTTAATTTCCTTTACAACCATAGTTAAAAAATTGAGGTAGGAATTTTAAAGTCAATGAGTATTAGGATAGTGGATAGCAAACATTTGACTAAAGAGTTAGAACGGCTGACTAATTTATTCCTGGAAAATAATTAGCATTTGGGCCTTATTGAGAATAATATCTCTTTACTGAGGAATACATTTTTAGACAGAGAAAATTTAGTCATATATAGACAGACTGAGACCTTTTCCCATGACCTAACTTTGCCGTCATGCTTTCTCTCAAAAAAGATAGGCGAATTAGTAAAGAAGTAAGGCATAAAAACAGTATTTAAAGAAGCCCTCACATTTTCTTCTGTTATGCCATCTTTTAGGAAGAAATATGACCCATTATCAAGAACCGGCTGCTACAAAATTGTTTGCTAATGTGGTCGATCTTATTTTGGTGAGACATGCCGACTTATTCGACAAAAATTTGGGGAACACAAAAATGCTTGTAAAGGAAATTGGGTCCAACGGCCAGAAGTGGCCGAACACATGGTAGAAACCGGTCATGAACTAGAATTGTCTCAAACTAGTCGGTTTGCTGATTATGGGAGGTCTGTGGTTAAAAGAAAAATAAGAGGCTATGCAAATTAATAGCTTAGAAAATACGTTGAATATGAAAATCGGTGGGATAAAGTTCAGTAGGAACTACTTATGCTTGATTTATAGGTTAAAAGAAAGATGTTAAGCCGATATCCAAAAGCAGGTAACCAGAATAAAGATAATTAACAAAACCATTTATATTAATCTTTGTATTTAAATTCTCTTTTGTTTTAATGAGATTATATAAGAGGTAAGATAGAAGCAGATTTTATTTTTTTATCTTACTGTTTACATGATAATTTTATAAGAATGATTCACAGCTCTGATGATGCCTATCATATGATGAACGGAAGCTTAGTCCGTTTTCACCAGAAACAAGGGAGTAAGTCTCGTGGACTGCATCAATCTCAACGTCGTATAAAAGTTAAACGGCAGCAGTACAACGGGATTAAGCCGTCCGCTTCTGGTGATATCGACCTTCGAATCTCTTCTTCATACACTTTCATACGAAATAAAAGTCCCCCAAACAAATTTTATATGAACCGAAATTGCTTAAAAAGTTGCTTTGCTGATGAAGTCCTACTAATAAATAATCTAATCCAACGACTAACGCTTCGTGATGTAGCCTATTGTCTACACAATTTGCGAGGCTACATAATTCTCGTTTTTATACACCGCATTTTTTAAAGTAAATTAGCTATAAATTTATATATTTAGATTTGTGGGTAATATACAAAAACATTGACCAAACAAATGCATAAAAGGCTAGATTTTTGGAACATGTTTACTTAGCCTACATGAAATTTCAAATGTATGGATGCGTATAGAAAGAGACGTTCTAGTAGGGTAAAACGTTTAACTGACCTCTAACTTGCTGTTCCAGGCTAGTAATAAGCGATACGGCTTGCTGCAAGATGGTCAACTTAGTCTGCGGCCTCTCGCTGTTCAAGTGCATTGAGCACATTCGGCCAAGCTCCTTGAAGGCGTCATTGATGTCGCGAACACGAATTCTAGAAGTCCCCAGGGAGCAGGCGGAGTTCAAAAAAGGAGTCCCGAGAAGAGAGATAGCAGGTGGTGCGTGCATGTATTCGGGTGCATGCATGCATGCGTTTGCGTGAGCGCGTGCGTAAATGTAAAGAAGGGGGCATGCGATGTACGATTATGGGAAGTAAGGAGGGAGCAAGCAAAGCAAAATGAATGACGGAATGAATGTTGATACGAATAAGGGATGAAAAGCATGCAAGATAGAATCAACAAACAAAGTCTAAAGAAATAAGATGCTCAGCTGTCAAAATTGGGATAAGAGAATAGAACATCATGACTATAAATGCCTAAAAAGATAAGTTAGAAGGGTCAAATAAGAGGTGTGTCAATAGCGAAGAAAAGCAAACGAGCCAAGTTGGCAACAGAAAAAAATGGAGCGTGATAAAACTAGATGTATGTGGGAGTGGATAATAAGGTAGTGACAATTACTAATAAAGCTTGGAGATGTAAAGGCGACTTGTAAATGTAAATAAACAATTGGGATATACAGAATATTGAGGCAAAAGATATGACCAATAGTTGGAGAAAGCTTGAAAGCAATTAGTGTAAGTTTAAAATAACATAAATCAATCATCTTAGAAGAAAATAAGTATTTATCAACTAAAATATGTAATTATTACTTTAAAAATTGAATTTAATAATAAGCAAAAAAAGCTTACATCTGATAAAATTGCAGAGATGAAATGGAAAAAGTATTTCAGTTAGACTCGCCCTTTTTGATCATTTGACAAACATTCGTGAATATTTATTAAAACCAAGATGGGAAGGATGGAAGTCATCAAGAAAATATGGTCAGTCAATCCTGAAAGTCAGACAGTGTGCAGAAAATAGTTGAACGAACTTAGATGAATTGCATGAATGCAAAAGGATCAAGATGCCGCGTAGACGGCATTTGAAATCAGTGGCGAAAATGGTGACGCTTCACACGATATGACTTAACTAATACTATTGGGAGACATTGGAACAAAGAAAGAGACCGAAATGTAGATGGCTAAAGTGACCATATGAAATCTAGTTAAGGATACAAAGTGAAAAACTATTATGGAGGGGTATGAATGAAGGCAAAACGAATAAGCATAAGATTGGTTTAAAAAACTGCCATCATTTAACACTTTGTAACTAAAGTTGTAGTAACTAAGTGATGTACAATCAATAATCCGATGCTGGCGCAGGACTGGGTAAATTATACAAAGTATCCGTCAATCTGATCTAGTTGTGAAGACGAGACCAAACTAACTAGAAAATTAATAAAGTTGTTTGACCTTGTTTTCGCAACTTGGTCATATTGGTCGGAAGACTTATAGGAACGCACCTTGTCCTGAGTCCATTGTATGCATAATTATTTCCAAAGTCGGACCGTGAGTACATTCCCAAACGTTTGTCGGCATCGTCAGTGAGTCTCGTCATTTGTAGCACCATATTACAACTCATCAATAAGACAATTGAAGCCCATACTTTGACCAAACATGTGCCAAACAGTTGTGGTATCTCTCTATTTTCTATATCCTCCTATCACAACTTCCCT